GCAGGGAAATGTGCCGGTAGTGCTTTAACCTCCACGAGACGTTTCTCGCTAATTGCTGGTCGTGGATGATAATTAGCGACTGTTAATTGCTGATAATTAACAAGCTAATGCTTAAAGGTAATGGTCCCCGGGTAATCATCTTAAACGACTCAAAGCTTCCGTGCTTCCTGAGCCCCAAGCTCCAGAGAATGACCTGCATATCAACATCTCTCGCCTGGGAGTTCGAGGGCCCCTGCATGTTCTTTACGAGGGCAGTGATTGGAGAATTGTCAAGGCTGGTCTTTAACCTAGTTTTCTTCTCTGGATGTAGAAATAATACATGTTCTTTTAGAAGCTTTGTCAAGCCCAGAAAAGTAGAGAGAAAATCAAATATACATAACCTTATTACTTGGAAACATCCACTGTCAACATTTTGGTTTATTTCTTCCCAGTCTATGAATTTCTTTTCACAGTTGAGTTCATGTTAAACACGTGCTTTCACACCAACTTTCTTCTGTTTTTTCTTCCTTTGTGGTGGCAACTTATTAAAAAAAGTCTCCCTACCCTCCAGCAGAAAAATCAAAGGAATGTTGTAGAGGACGGATGGGATCCATGAGAGCAGGAGAAACAGTGTGAAAGCAAAGACCTGGCCCAGGGCCCGATTAGGTGGGGTCTGGGAATTCATTCTCGGCCAGAGTGTCTGCAAGGGGACTCCTGTTCCCGCCCTCACCAACCGAAGATTGTGTAGAAAAATACGTGCACACGTGTGCGGTTACATAGGAAGGAAGGCTGGAAGGCAGTGAACTCAGGTGTTAGTCATGGTGTTGTTTCCAGAGTGGGGACCGGTGGTTTTCATCTTCTACTTCATAATTTCCCGTGCAGCACAGAGGGAAAAGCTGTGGTTCCGCATAAAGATTTTCACTTCACAGTTCTGCCCCTCCACGGCACTGCCTAGTGATCGCAGGTAAATCTCCCCGCAGGACCTTGACTTCCTTATCTGTGCTTTGAGGGAAATATTAGGCTTCCCACCCTAGAAGGTGGTTTTCACACTCCAAAATGTTGAGTTAGTGCATCCCCATGGAAAGATACGCTCAGGTGACTCCCAGTAATAAACCCAATAGGATCAAGAAACAGCCCCGACGTAGCCCTTGGTCATGTACAAAGACGGTCTCCCAAAATTGTGTGCCACCCATTTCCAGATTCCCTAGTGCTCACTTTGCATGTCCGTCTCCCCCAGCACTTCTTTTTTTTTTTTTTTTTTTTTTTGCGGTACGCGGGCCTCTCACTGCTGTGGCCTCTCCCGTTGCGGAGCAGAAGCTCCGGACGCGCAGGCTCAGCGGCCATTGCTCATGGGCCCAGTTGCTCCACGGCATGTGGGATCTTCCCGGACCGGGGCACGAACCCGTGTCCCCTGCATCGGCAGGTGGACCCTCAACCACTGCGCCACCAGGGAAGCCCCATCCCCCAGCACTTCTTGAACCTGTTTATTTCTTCAGTAGGAGGCAGTGTTGCTGCAGTGGAGACTTTGGAGTGAGACCTGGGTAAATCCAGAGTTGGCCACATGCCTGTGACGTCCTGGAGGCTACTTAGCATCTCTAACCCTCAGCTTCCCTGGGCATGAAATGGAGCCAATACCACTGATGGGTTTGTCCTGAGGTCCTAATGAGATACTGTATGATAAAGGGCTGTTCAGTGTTCAAGTCAGCGAGGTCATTTATTGGTAAATAAAGGTGATTTCACAATAGAAGCATCCGTTCAACCGTGTAATGAATGAGATTGTTATTTTCCACTCTGTGCAGAGTAGGTAAACGTGTTACCCACTCTGAAAAGGGGACGTTCCCGTTTTCCCAAGCTCGCCCCGGGCCTCAAGCTCTGCCCTTGTAGAGATTGGCAGTTTGGGTCAACTTGGGCCTCTTCTTTCATTTCTTGCTTTTATAGATTCAGATCCAGTCTTCTCTCCATTTTCATCTTTCCAAATCTCCAGGACCTGAAGCTTTTCTGTCTGCCAGGCTTACCTTAAAATTGGCTGTTCTGCTCTGAGCAGTCACTAGCTGCCGTCTTTAGGAAGCAGGGCTTTGCCCATTGTTGCTTGATAAGAACACCTTACAACAGCATCCTGCATGAGATTGTTCAAGGCACTGGCACACCTGCTGTGGCGTTGAATCCCCCAGCAGTTTTGTCTTGTTATTCTTCATGTGGGGGGGGCAGCATTGTCCCCAAAGTGGATTTCACAGAACAAAACGACTGTTTGTGTGGCCAAAACAGTCTGGAAAAGAGTGGGATGGGTGGAGCTAAGCGGACTTTTCAGGCTTTTAACCGATGAATGTGCGGTGTGATTCTTCAAGACCTAGATGCAGTGCCTCCCAAGTTTTTCTTCACCAGAGCATTTTTTGCTAGAATATTCCATGGAAGTTTTGCTCCGTGGAACTCAGCTTAAAGGTCTTGAGAATGAGGCAGGATAAATTCAAATGTAGGCACATCACTTGCTAGCTGAGTGACCTTGGGCAAGTTTCTTAACCTCTCTGATTCTCAGTTTGCTTACCTATAAAATGGGGATGGTAGTATGGTTGTAAAGATTAAAATAATGTGCTCAGCAGAATGTCTAATAATGATAAATACTCAATCTACTTCAAGCTTTACTGTTGTCCTCTCCCTCTATGTTCCCTGGGAGAGGAAGGGGCCTCAGGAAGGTTAATTTCCCGACTTTCCGCGGCTACTCAGAGACAGGCTGGGCACGAAGCCCAGGCTTCTGCCTCTCAGCTCAAGGCTCTCCGCATCACACAGGCTGGTTTTCTCGCTCACTCCTCTCTCCTCCCTTTACCCCATTCACCATCCTTGGGGTTCCAGTTCCGTTCCCTCTGGTAGATATTGGGGTTTTATGAGCCTCAAGTGTAAGTGAAAGTACTCATTAAACTGCTGTAAAAATCTTCGTGACTGCAACCCATCCACCAACCCGTGCAGCCATTCCCAAGGTGCCCGCAGGCAGCCTGCCCTGCCACCCCTCACGTCCTCCCTGGGACCCCGGGTGCCACCAATCAGAACACTGCCCACCCTCGTGTCGCAGTTGTTTTGCTATCGTTTCCTATTTTTCCGGCTTGTGAGCTCCGACAGAGCCTCTGATTCCTTTGCTTCTGCTGTGGCAGCGAGCACGGTGCCCACATGCGTAGGTGCTTTGTGAGATACTTGTAACCAAATCGGGGCTGAGCTGTCCGCTCCACCTCCCAGCCCACTGCCTGGGGAATGGCCAGGTTTGCGGGGAGTGGGGAGCGGGGGAGGGCTGGCTGTTCTGCGTTTCATCTTTTCCTTCTCTGTCAAAGCCAGTGCAGGAGGGGCTGGCGTGCGTGAAGCCCCTGTGCTCTCCAGCCTGGTGGACGGGAGCCTTTGCCTCCAAGTGTTCCCAGGCCTCCAGGACGCCAGTGTAGGGTTCAGTCTGCAGATCAGTCAACCCTCCCGGGGTCAGGGCGGGGCTCCTGCTGTGGAGTCCAGGCCAGGCTGTCCCTCCTTCTTGCACAGAGCACCCGTTTTCCTCCCCTTCCCCCCTCTCCCCTCCTACAGCAAGCTCAGACTCCACAGAGGAATCAAGCCTCCAGGCTTGAGTGTGGCTTCTGTCCCCTTTCAGCAGCTGAGCCAGGATCCCCCTGTGCCTCGGCTGAGATGTGACACCAGGCCGTGGGGAAGGCTTCCAGGCCCCAGACGCCACCCTTTTCCAGAAATAGCTCTGCCCACCTCCCAACAGCCCCACTGGGTGACCCTCTTCTGGGCTGTCATCACATCCTGGGCTTTCCCCGCCACAGCCGTTACTACGTTGGACTGTAGTCACCTGTTTGCTTGGCAGACTTTAGCAGGTATACAGCTCACTTGAATCTTGTTAAAATGCAGATTCTGATTTACAAAGTTGGAGGGGCCTGAGACTCTGCATTTCTAACGAGTTCCCAGGTGATGCCAAGGCTGCTGGTCCACGGATGACACTTTGAGTAGCAAAGAGCAGTTGTTCTCAACTTGGGCTGCAATTAGCCTCCAGGGAGCACAGCGGTACCACGGCCCCTATATGAGCCCAGCTGCACCAAAATCTCTCGGGGTGGCACCTGGGCACTCGGGACTTTTAGATGCTCCCTGGGTGGCTCTAGGTTCCAGGCAGAGTTCAGAAGCCCTGAGCTGGGCTGTGGGCTCCTTGGGGTGGCATCTTACCCCTCACTTATTCCCAACTCCATCTCCGAGCCTGGACTGGCTGGGCAGGTGTGGTAGGTGTTCTCATGGCTCACCTTATGTAGACACTTAGCCTCACTCTGGCTGGTTCAGAGCCAGCTCCGGCCAATACCATGTGTTGGGCAGACAGGAGTCAGACGGCTTCTGATGAGCTGGGCTCAGGAGGCCCGTTGAGCTTGGACTGTGGTGTGGCTTCTTTAGTGGGGTGGACCCGGATCTACAACTGATTGGAATCCTTGCCGAAGACACCTTCCCAAGAAGCCTCTCTGCCACCTGCCGCGTCCCCTCTGGGTCCCGCTGCTCCCTGCCAGGTGTCCTTGGGCCTCAGAGTCCTTCTCGACACGGAGAAGCCCACAAGGCAGACTAAGGGCCTCCATCCCTCCTCCCTGCTCCCACATCCTTGGGCGGGTCTCCCCCACAGACCCATCAAGCTGTATTTTCATTGCTTTGGGGGTGGGGGGCGCTTTGTCTTGCAGAAGGGAACTCTTCAAGGGCAAGGATGGGGTCACAATCATCCTTTTGTCTCCACGTTGGGTACAGTGGGTTGCTGAATGAGTGAATGAATGAATGGCGTTATCCAGCAAGGGGGACTCCCAGAGAGGACAAGGGGGCCCCTCACAGTGGCCTGTCAAGAAAGCTGTGCGTTCCTGATGGGGGGAGGGAGGTGGCATGTCTGTCACCCATGGCCTGACGGAGCCAGCCCGCTGGTCTTCATTCATCCATTCAGCCCGGCTGGGTTGACTTTAGTTGCCGCCCAGGGCCCCTCCTCGGAGCCGTGGCCACTACTGCCAGCTCACCTGCTGTCCTGCCACCAGAGCCCACTCTCTGCTGGTGGCATCGTGGCCGCAGGCCCCCGCTGGATTGTCCAGGAAGATGGGTGCCTGCAGGAGAAAGGCCCTGACCCTGCTGAGCAGCGTCTTTGCCATGTGCGGCCTGGGCCTGCTGGGCATCGCGGTCAGCACGGACCACTGGCTGTACCTGGAGGAGGGAGTGGTCCTGCCCCAGAACCAGAGCACCGAGACCAAGATGTCCCTGCACTCAGGCCTGTGGAGGGTCTGCTTCCTCGCAGGTAAGGGCGCCCTGGGCTGGGGACAGCCCTGCCCCCAGAGAGGAGCAGCCACCATCTCACACCCCCTGGGGAAGAAACGTCCCTGCTGGAAGGAGGCTGGTCACCGTGGACGATGCTCATGAGCTCTGGGCCTGCTCCCTCCAGTGGCCAGGATCCACTCCAAACTCAAGGCCTGAGTCTCCCTGTCCACTTGGGCAAGTCCTCTCACCCCTGGGACCTGGGTCTTCCCACCTGGCAGATGCCCGTGGCCCCGCTGTCGCCACACCACCCACCCCCGGCTGAGAGAGGCGGCCTCAGCTCCCTGAGTCCTCCGTCGCAGTGCCTCCCCCTTGACTCTGCAAGGCAGGCCCTGTTACCACGTCCACCTCACAAATGAGGGCAGGAAGATGCAGGGAGGTGAAGCGCCGGCACAGTCATGTTCTGGTGAGGGCCCTCTTCCCTCCTTCTCCCTGCGTCCTCATAGGGCAGCAGGGGGAGAGGGAGCTCCACGGGGTCTCTTTTAGAAGGGCACTAATCCCATTCATGAGGGCTTCACCCTTGTGACCTGAGCATGAGGATGGGAAATTCTTAGCACTTTCTCTGTTCCTATGTCTGTGAAATGGCAGGGAGAAAACGCAAGTGCAGGTCTTTGCAAGTCTGCCAGATGGTGCAGGCCTTGATCCTGCCCATCAGGGCCTCCTGCCTACTTGCTAGGGCTTCTCTGGAACCCTTGGAGTTGCTACTCCAAGGGCTCTGTCCTTTATCCCTTCATCATGACCCGGAACCAAGCTGCACGAGAAGAGCCTCTCTGTGCCCCGTGAGTCTGGTCAGAAACACCACAGTGGGGTCATGGAGCCTTTCTTGGAGGGCTCTGTAACCCATGTGTGCACGGGACACAGGGAACACTTGTTCCTCCCAGCCTCATGGTAGGGCTTTGGTGGTTGGCGCCCACCCGTATTTAGCAGGGAGGACCCTGGAGGCCTGGCCTCCCCGTGACGTGTTGAGTCTACTTTGGGAATGGCACCCCACACTGACCTCACCTCCCAGTGGCCAGACTGTGTGGCATCCGTCTCTGCTTAAATCTGAAGCAGAGTTTGAAGTCACCAGGGTCTGGTTGCCAAAGTGGTCGAAAAGGCTTTGGGGGTTCTGCTCCATGACACCCACACTGGGGCACCTAAGCCAACCACACGCCATCCTTGGTGGAGTCTGTCCCAAAGCCACAAGACGGCCACCGGACATCTGACTCTACCTTGAGTCTGCAGTGATTGCTTTTCATGCAGCTCTCGGTGCTTCTCTGGGAAAGATGTGATGTCAGGACGGGTGTCCACATCTGCTGTGGGCCACCAGCTGGGGACGGGGCCCCCTAGGGTTTGAATCCAGCCCAGGTGTAAATACACAGAGGGTCAAACATCCTAGAAGCACCTGGGAATACCATTTGAATTTGTTAACTTCAAATCCGTGTTCAGAAGGACCCAGAGTGTACGTAAGTGGCTCTTGTCTCCATAGGTGAGGAGCGGGGACGCTGCTTCACCATAGAGTATGTGATGCCTGTGAGCACCCAGCTCGCCTCCGAGTCCACGGTCAACGTGCTAAGTAGGTGCCTCCAACTTTCCAGCCTGAGCCACGGGCTGGACAGGGCAGAGCAGGGCAGAGGGAAGAGGCAGGGTGACTGCTTGTTTCTCAAGAGCCGATGCCCTGAGACTCAGATGCTTGTGCTGGCTGAGCTCACAGAGCTCGCTCTGCCAGTTATTTATCCAGGGTGGTGACAGGTTGCTGGAGTCTCCCATTGCTGTGACCCTGGCAAGCAAGAGGGCATCCATACCCAGTGACTTCCTCTGTTTGGGATGCTCTAACAAAATAGCCCAGGCAAGGCAACTTAGAAGCCACAGAAATTTATTTCTCTCAGCTCTGGAGATTAGAAGTCCAAGATCAAGGCGCCAGCACGGTCACGTTCTGGTGAGGGCCCTCTTCCTGCCTTCTCACTGTGTCCTCACATGGTGGCAGGGGCGAGGGTGCTCTGGGTGTGTGTGGGGGGGGGGGGTCTCTTTCATAAGGGCACTAATCCCTTTCATGAGGGCCCCACCCTCGTGACCTAAGCACCTCCCAAAGGCCCCACCTCCTATACCATCACCTTGGGTGTTAGGTTTAGCAAGTGAATTTTGGTGGGGGGGCGGGGGACACAGATGTTCACACCATAGTACCCAGGGAACTGAACCAGGCTCTCCGGCCCCCAGCGAGACTGACATCATGGCCTTGGCCTCGCCAGAGCTGTTCAGACCCATGTGAACCTGCAGTACAGTTCTGAGTTAGCATAGGCCCTGAAGGCTAAGGGCCAAGGAACGAAAGCCCCACCGAGGAGGGGATGGAGCCCGGGCTGCTCAGGCAGGGCGGGGGCTTGGGGACCAGCTGGTGCACACTGCCAGGAACACTTGACTCGGGAAGGTGAGCACTGAGTGAGGCTACTGGAGGCTGACGGCATCCTTCCATCCCCTCGGTCAGAAATGATTCGCTCGGCCACGCCGTTCCCCCTGGTCAGCCTCTTCTTCATGTTCATCGGCTTCATCCTGAGCAACATTGGACATGTCCGTCCCCACAGGACAATCCTGGCCTTTGTCTCCGGCATCTTCTTTATCCTCTCCGGTAAGTAGTGCCGTGCACTCTGCACTTCTGACATTTGATTCCTAAACCATCCTGCTATGGGAAGCTCTGGTCCCAGCTGCGGGTCAGCCCCTGCACAGGACCCGCCGCGTCAGTGGCTCAAGCACAACTGAGTCCGAGCTGGAGGAGGGTTCCGAGGACCCGGGCCCGTCCATCACATCTGGAGGAGCAGTGACCTGACAGCTCCCCCTGGGCAGAGCTGGGATGAGAACCCAGGGTCCTCCTCATGCCATACCATCACTGACGCTTTCCCCTAGTTCCCACTGGTAATGAGTATTCCTTTTTCCTTTTGAGGGCTATGTCTTTGTGTGTTTACATGAAAGAAATACGATCTGCCTTTGGAATGACGGCCTCTTCATCTGCCATCCCACAGCCATCCCCTAGAGACCCCCTACCCCCTACCCTGGGCTACCCAGGCCCCTTCAGCATGGATCTGTCCTCCTGGACCAACCCCAGACTGTACTCGATCATTCACTCTTTCTTTCGTTTATTCATGCGCTGACTCATCCACTCATGTATCTCCCAGGTCTTATCACTGGGAGCTGGGCTCTCTACCTACAGAAAGGGCAGTGTATTAGGGGACATAAACAAGTGGGCAGGAAATGTGGACCCTGCCTGACAAGGGCTCTGACAGCGTCAGCAAGGACTGTTATGGGGGCCAAGGGCAGTGGCGGAAACTCAGACCAGGAGCTGGTCAGGGACGGCCGCCAGGAGCAGGCGAGATGGAGAGTGAGTAGGAATTAGGTAGAGTGTGAGGCTGGGGTGGGCGGAAGGGAGCCTGGAGGGAAGAGAGAGGATGGAGGCCAGGGGACACTAAGCTCAGTCGTGACTCGTGGTGACAGGAACGTCAGGAGGATGTGGTGAGAGGTGGGGGGCGGCAGCTGAGGTCGCCTTGTTGGGGACTTTGTGAGAAGCCTCGGGAGGATTTTAAGCGGAGGAAGGACATGACCAGATTTGGATTTTAGAATAATCCTTCTGGAGAGTGAGGGGAGGAAGGAAGCAAGACACGGGGCAGGGAGAGCAGGCGAGAGGCTACTTCAGTTGTGCAGGAGGGAGGGGATGGGGAGGGGCTGGCAGCGGGGATGAGAGAAGGGAGAGGCTCCTGGACACCTGGGAGGTAAGCTCAGTAGGACGAGGCCTGGGCTTCAGGGGAGGAGCCGAGGGCCAGCACGGGCTCTGCTCAGGCCCTGGGTAGGCGGTGCACTGCATCCCTCATCCAGGGGTCACAGGAGAAGCAGCAGATTTGGAGCCAAGATCATGAACGTAGAGTGGGAAATGCAAAGTTTGAGGTGCCGATGTGACAGCTGGAAGCAGCACCCAGATGGCTGCTAGGGGTCAGGGTTTGGGGGTCCTGGGAGTAGAGACACCAAAGGTGCAGACGGAGCTGTTGGCCTAGGGACTAGGGGAGGGAATCAGACGTGGAGGAGATTACTGCAGGGGGTGTGCAGAGTGAGCGGGAAGAAAAGGTGGTAAATGAAGGGCGGCTCTTTCTCCCCTTCAGGGTGTCCTCTGCGTTTTCATAAGCACCTTTTCTTAATGCATCGAGCCAAAGGCACGTCTCTCAGGGCATGGATTGTAGATGCCCTGGAGCCCTGGATTTGTTGATAAGAGAGGGGATAGAGATGGAAGATGGGTAGGTGGATGGCTTGAGTAATGGATGGATGGATGGATGGATGGATGGAAGGACCCATGGAAAGAAAAGATGAACAGCTGCCAGCACCAGGCATTCTTGCTGCCGCCCAACTTCCAAGCCACTTTAGGTTCCTTTTCCCAACATTGTCTTGTCAATATAGCTTGGGAGCCAGGTGGCAGTCAGAACACTAGATGCCCAAGAGCTTTTCTTTCTTTCTCCTTCCTTCCTTCCATCCATCCATCCATCCTTCCATCCATCCATCCATCCTTCCATCCATCCATCCATCTAACAAATGTTCATTGAGCAGCTGCAGTGTCCTCAGCCCACCCTCTGCACCATGATGTTTCCACCTAGTCCAAGAGATACAGACCCAGGTTAAGCTCTTTCTTTATCTATCAACTTCACAACAGTCAAGGCCACACAGCAGCTTCAAAGCACCTGAGGTTTTTCAGCGGCAGGCAGCAGGACCAGAGATCTCAGACTGAACTTGGCCACATGAAGTGTTTTAATGACAGCAACAGACAGGGTTCCCTTGGGCCAGCTTCATTCCAGTGTGAGTTAAGTGCCAAGGAAGGCCTGAATCATGCTTGTTTTCCTGTAACATTCATCCTTCAAGATGCCCCAGCTTAATCATGTGAATGGAATTAAAGCTGAGCAGCTCAAAACACAGTAATTAATTGTGTCCTGTTGCAGTTACAGTCACTGATTGACGAGACCGATGCTCCGTCGGTCGTTTGCACAATGGCGGGAGGAGTTTAGGCAGCGCCGGCCCCCTGATGTAACGCTTGCCAGAGCCTGACCATCTCTCTTTGCCTCTCCTGCCTAACGATCTCAGTAACTGGCCGCACTGAGGGGCAGGTGGGCTGCACAGAGCCACAGTTACAAGACCATCTATCCAGGCTCTGGAGGCCCTGGCTATCTCTGCCAGGGGAGCCTGTGTTATCCCTCAGTTCAGCGGAAGCCACTTGCAAAAGTCAGTGGTTCACACCCTGAGTTCACATGAGCCTTGCCTGGGGAGCACTTAGGAAGACACGGTGCCAGGCGCCAGCCCAGGCCACGTGACTCAGAAGGTCCGGGGATGGGGCTCATGGGACGCACATCTAACAGGTGGTTCCGGTGGGGGGGGGGGCGGTGAGAACCCTCGGGCTCACCGTGGCTCCGGAGGTGGCTGGACAGAAGCTTTCTCACCTGCAGCCGTCCGCTTTCTAGAAGGTAATGGTCTAAACAGGGCCTTCAGGAGGAGGGCTCCTGCCCTCCTTGAACTCCAGAGTGGGGTCATGGTCACCCAAGGCCGAGGCCTTCTCCCTGAACCCCGAGGGGAGGCGGTGCCCCATCGGCGGCTCCCCGGCTTCCTTGCCGAGCGCCCCTGCACCCCTGCAGGCCTCTCGCTGGTGGTGGGCCTGGTGCTGTACATCTCCAGCATCAACGATGAGGCGCTCAACAGAACCAAGGATGCGGACACCTACTTCACCTACAAGTACGGGTGGTCGTTTGCCTTCGCCGCCATCTCCTTCCTCTTAACGGAGGTAAACCCCTCCCCGCAGGCGGGGCGGGGCGGGGCGCTGCCCCGGGAGGGGGCGGAGGAGGAGGCCACGCCCACCCTGGACCCACCGCTCCCCCGCCCTTAACTCCCGGGCCCCGCCTTCGGCCCCCCTCGTGCTGTGCTCCCGCGGCTGCGTCCACGGCCAGGCCCCGAGCACGAGCTCCCCCTGCCTGCAGAGTGCGGGGGTGATGGCCGTGTACCTGTTCATGAAGAGGTGCACCGCCGAGGACGTGTACAGGCCTCACCCCGGCTTCTACCGCCCGCGTCTGAGCAACTGCTCCGATCACTCGGGCCAGTTCCTGCACCCGGACGCCTGGGCGCGAGGCCGCAGCCCGTCCGACATCTCCAGCGACGTCTCCCTGCAGATGAACAGCAGCTACCCAGCCCTGCTCAAGTGCCCCGACTACCGCCAGGTGTCTTCCTCCCCCTGCTGAGTCCCGGCCCCGGACTGCCGTGCCCAGACAGCCCTCCCTGCCCCCGCTGCCCTTGGTCTACCGCCCGGCTGTCCCCGTGCTTAGCTGTTTTCACCTGACCCGTGTCCCCTCCCTGCTCGCCCAGAGGAGCTCCTGCAGCCCAGGGTGGGTGTCGGGAGTCTGGAGCCAGCGAGCGGATGACGGGTTGAGAGCTGGGGGTTCCCCCCGCCTCTTGAGTGCCAGTCATTGGGCGCCCTCCTTCCCTGGGAGGGGTGGGCCTTCCAGCTCTGTCTTCCCCGCCGCACCCTACGTCATGGACCCAGGCCAAGGCCAGCTCTGCGATGCCAGGTTCCTTCCAGAGACCCAGCTGGACTTGGGTGCTTGCCAACTGGTCTGGCCCTCGCGTCGTGATCTGGGCTATGGGGCCGGGAGGTGGCTCTGATACGGAGCTCTGGCTGCTTCAGAGTCGTCCAGCGCTGTCCTTGTGAAGTCCTCTACCGTTTGTGGTCACCCCCCGTGTGCCCTGTCCATCTCCCCCCTGCCCCACGGCCTGTGGGTCTTCTTCCTCTTCTCCCAGCAGAACTCAGCTGCCCCAGCTTTGGTCCCCAACGGGCTGAGAGGGGTCTGAGGCCACCTGATGAAGTGACAAGGAGGTGTTAGTGGCTGATGGTGTCTTAATGTGCGTGGCCCGCAGTAACATATCTAACAAGGGCCTTTAATGCCTTAACCCAAAGCAGTGACTCTGACATTGAGAACTGCAGAAGGTGGCTGGTCCGGGTTAATACTACCAAGCACTGTTTCAGGCCCGGGGGATGCCGTCCCCACTCACATGGGCAATATTTCTGGTCCAGGTCCCTAAAGTCTACTCATGTAGACGGATGTCTATACCACCGAAGGAGAAAGAAGGCAGCTTTCAAAGAGGCTGCCTGGGATTTGGAGCTGGCTTTGCTGACGCCTGAGTCTAAGCAAGCCAGACTCAGAATGACCCTGCTGCTCTCCTGAGGATGCCTGCCGACATCGGGGGTTGCCAGTTTAATCCTAATACAGGGCAGCATCTGCTTCCTGGGTACGGGGCGTGTGTAGGCAGAGAGACGCCTCCGGAAGATGGGGTGGCGTGATGCCTGCTTTCCGGGCAGGAAACCTGAAGCCCCTTCCGTGAAGTTCACAGAGGGAAACGGGAAAGGCCCAGTGCTGGACGGGACCCCCTCAGGTCTCCACGCGTCTTCTCGCACGCCCACTGTGGGATTTGAGGTTTTGAATAGCAGAACAACGCCAGGCTGTCTGCTGTGTATTTTTGCCACACCAGCTGTTCACCCTTTCTCTTGCTCTTTTTTTAAGATAGCGTTCAGTTTTGGGTGCAAAAAGCCACCGTGGGCGACACGTGGGCTCCGGAAAGAAATACAGAAAACCGCACTTGTGGCAGGGGTGGCCTTCAGAAGGGGAACGCATTCGTTTGCTGGGGCTGCCACGGGCTGCGTGGCTTAAACAACAGACAATTATGTTCTCACAGTTCTGGAGGCCAGAAGTGCAAGATTGAGGTGTCAGCAGATCTGGATTCTCTCGAGGCTGTTTTCCTTGGCTTGCAGATGACCATCGTCTCCATGTGTCCTCACAGGGTCTTTTTCCTGCACGCCTGCATGCGCCCCTGGTGTCAGACTGGATAAGAGCCCATCCTAACAGCCTCATTTTAACTTAAATCACCTCGATAAAGGCCCTGTCTCCAAATGCAGCCATATTCTAAGTCGTGGAGGGAAGGGCTTGAATATACGGATATGGAGCTTTGGGGAGGGGTTGGGGGACAGTTCCGCCCATAAAAGGCAGATTGCCTCGTAGCTGGATTGTTCCCTTGTTCACAGAATAATAGAGGAGAAACGAGGGAAGCCGACTGTGGTCCCAGTCCTGCTACTGTCCCCGCGTGGGTCCTGGGGAAACCCCCTTCTGCTCCTAAACTATTTCCAAGCCCTCCTCCCACACCTACCCCCAACTCTAATGATCCAGCCTCGTGTAGAAAGCTCCAGACAGCCCTCCTGTGTGACTGTTCACCCCTCCCCTGTACACTGATGGCAGCCGGAAAGCCCGCCTTCCGCTCCACAGGCACCTGCCGTGACTTGTATCCTTGGTAACCGCTTACAGCTTAACAAGGAAACCAGCGCGCCCGGCAGCAAAAGACTCGTTTAGTGTACCTGGAGACCGTTAGGTAGCATTTCCGAACTAGACGGTTGTTTAGATGTGCTTTACTCCGATCGTTGTCAATGTAATGAGCTCCTCGGACGCACTTTTCTCTCCCTGAAGTGCTCCCTCTCTCTGTCCATGTGCCAGGCTTGTTTTCGTGCACACGGAATAAATAGAATCCACTCCTGAACACAAGCTGATGGCTGACTCTGAGTGACATCATTAGGATGGGCCTTCGTCGGCCTAGATGCTGGGCTGCTAGGTCAGGCAGCTCTTACCCTGGGAATGTGCAATTTACACCTATCTTCGGGATAGGTTCTGGGTCCGTGTCTCCCCTCCTGGGTGACGGGTGAATGTATGAATTACTGTGCGACCGTGACAGTTTCTTTTCTGCCTATAAATCTCAGAACTGGGACCTTTGCAGCCTCTCCACAATCAAAAGATTTTTCTCAAACATTAAAGTGTATAAACTCAACTCATAAACCATAAATTAGGGACCCCTTCCCCAATACACTTTCTGACCTTTTGTTTCCTCAGGCACTTAAAAAAAAAAAAAAGACGAGTTTTTATTTTTTCATCCTCAAAATATGGGATGGAGAGACTAATACACCAGAGTCTGATGCATTATGGAGTAAAACTACTCGGGGTTACCAGCCAGGGGTTGGGGACAATTCTGACGTTTGTTCCCTCTCACCTGGAACTCGCCAGCCTCCTTCTTCCTCCAGGGGTTGGTCAGTGCTGTCGCCTCACCCCCGGAGGTGATCTTCAAAGAAATGTTCGTTATCAGGGCTGCACGGAGTTGAGGGGAGCAGATGGGGGCAAGTCCACACCAGCTTATCAGTGATGGACCCGAGGAGCCTGTGTCAGGGAGCCCCCTCCTTAATGTTTGGGTAACTGTCCTTCCTCCCTAAATAAAAGTGGTGTCCTGGGGTTCTCCAGAGAAATAGAACCAAGAAGATACATATATAGATTTATTTTAAAGAATTGGCTCCCATGATGGTGGAGACTTGGCAAGTCCAAAATCTGATGGGGGAGGCCAGCAGGCTGGAGACGCAGGGAAGAGTTGCAGCTTGAGTGGGAAGGCTGTCTACTGGCAGATTTCCCTCGTGCTTGTGGGAGGTCAGTTTTTGTTCTATTTAGGCCTTCAACTGATTGGATGAGACCCACCACATTACGGAGGGCAATCTGTTTTACTCAGAGTCCACTGATCTAAATGTTCATCACATCGAAAAACACCTTCACAGAAACAGCCAGAATAATATCTGGGCAGCATGGCCCAGCCAAAGTGACACATGCAATTAACCCACACAAGTGGATAAAGGCAGGGGAAATAGCATTCCGCCTTAAGAATTGCAGAGTGGGTGGCAGGTGTGTGGATGGGGGAGTCAGCACGGCCACGCCAGGGGCACTGCTCTGTCACAGGCTGCCCCTCTGGCTGAGGCCATCTGCCTGATGAGTGCGTGGAACCCGTCTGCAGTTCCCCCAGCCTTGGCTTTTATCCCACACGCACCGAATGCACTCACACATGCTAATATGACGCTTGGAAAGTTAAGTTGCCTTTGGAACACAAACTCTCCAGGTCGAGAGCGGGTGCAGAAGTGGATGAGTGAGTGGATTCTGCTGAAGGCGCTTGTGCTCAGATGCAGACAGGCCAGGACCCAGGGACCATGAGCTCAGCCATGGTGGGAGGCTCAGCGGCCACCACCTGCAGTGCCAGCACCCCCTGCTGGGTAGAGGGTGGTGAGCTGGACCCGGCCAGAGCCCCTCCCCTCCTGGCAGAACTAAGGTCCCTGGATTCCCACACACCCCTGCACTGGGATCCTAGCCCTCTGCTCTGTGACCTTGGACAGGTCACACCCTCCCAGGGTCCACCTAGGCTTTCTCTTGTCTGTGTAAAGCCTGAGCTCCCCATCTGTTCTGGAGCGAAGATTTTCTGCCTGGGTGGCCCTGCCCTGGGGTATTTGCACCCGATGAGCCCTCTGCCCTGCTCCTTCCAGGGCAGCAATAGACCCAGCGGTCAGAGGCCTGAGTTGCCCTCAGGGCGCCGCTCCACCCTCTGTGTGTTGCCAGCAGCCAGGGGACGTCAGTTTTTTCATTCATAGGATGAGAGCATTGGATAAAATCGTCCCCATGCTCTGCCCCCATGCTTCGTCTCCAGCTCTAAAGACTGCAGGTGTTAGAGGCAAAACCCAGCCAAGCCCAAATGAGGCACCCCCACCCCACCTCCTGCCAGGAACAAGCAGACAACACCCCAAAGACTGTGGAATTTGCATAAAAGATCGGATCCTCGAGGACCCCAAGGAAGAGCAAAGTCGGTATGGAGTGCACATGTCCGCCCCGGAGCAGCGGGAGGGACGGAGGACGTAGGGTCCAGCAGCTACCCAGTCCCTTCCTCTCAGCCACGGGGAAGGGGGAGGGGCTTCTCCACCCAGCTTCCGCTCCCCCGGACGGCGTGATGGGGCGTACAGCCCTCGTTCAGCCAACTTCAGAGGCTCGGGAGCAGGTTCGAGGTCAAGTAGCACCACTTTCATGCTACAGGAAGGGCAGAAAGACGCTTCCCAGCTAGAAGGTACCCAAGTCGTGGCTGTGTCTGTCAGGAGCTGAAAACTTCCAGGTGGGAGTTGGGTGAAGGGAGGGAATCGGTGGTTCCCTATAAAAGTTCAGCCTAGAAAGGGTATGAAGAGCTCGGCCTCCGCCTTGGATCATCAGGCAAGGCGCCAGCCGGTTACCCCGGTGGGTTGAGGACCCCGGGGGTACGATCTCAGCTTCCTTTGCTGAGCCCTGTGCAGCCTTCCTGCAGGCTAGGGGCAGGCCCTCAGAGTTGGGCTTCGAGCCTCCACTGCCCCAGCCCCTCCCTCTTGGCCGGCTGGTAGGCGGCATACTTGGAGTCTCAGTTTCTCCATCCACGAGATGGGCAGCCTCCGCAGGCCCCCTTCCCTGAGAAGGAGTGAGTCCCAGTGAGAACCTAGATGGGGGTTCTGGTGGTGCCGGTGGAGGGGATGTGCTGGTGCGGGCAGAGTGCTGGCCTGGAGCCAGCAGCTCTGTAACCCAAGCTTCGCTGACTCATCATGCTGTCTGAGCCCTGCCCCCATCCTGGCTTTCTTCCCACCCCTCTCCTCCCTCCTCACCTGCAGGAGGAGTGGTTTGGGGCAGGATATCTGAAACCCCATTGCCCATTGAACCTGACCTTGAGCTCTTCCCCTTTCAAAGCTGGTGGCAACTGGCTTCCGGCCTAGGCACTGCAACAGATAGGACATCTCAACAGCAAGTAACAGTTGTGACTCAAACTGTGTTAGACAATAAAGCACTGATTTCCTTCACATCAGGAAGGCAGGAGTCAGTGTGGATTTAAGGACTGGCTGATTCAGTGGCTCAAGGATACCATCAAAAACCCAAGTTCTTTCCATCCCTTGGTTGTGCTATCCTTGGGGTTGGCTGTATCCTCAGGGTGGCAGCAAGATGGCAGCAGCAATTCCAAGGGTCACATCAAGATGCAACAGCATCAGGAGGAAGGAGGCTGTGTCTTCTTCTGTGTCCTTCTTAGAAGCAAAGGCAACTTTCTCAGAAGCAACCCAACCATAAGGCTCTACCTCATGTCTTATTGACCAAAACTGGGTCACATGCCCATTTTCAAACCACTGCCTGGCAAGGGGAGGGGTGAGTGTGCCCCAGCTACCTATTGATACATAACACATTAACCCAAAATTCAGGCGCTCAAGACAATCACAACTGTATCGGGATTATTTCTGACAGTTTTAGGGGTTGGCTGGGCTCAGCAAGGTGGTTTTCACTCAGGGTATCTCAGGCAGTAGCAGTGACCGCCATCTCCAAGGCTTCCTTGTTCATTTGTCCAGCAGTTGGACACTGAACAAGGTCACACTGGGACCTCAGTTACGGTCAGTGGCTAGAGACCCATGCACAGTCTCTTCAGAAGGCCTGGGCTCCTTCACAACATGGCAGCTGGCTCTTAAGAAGGAGCTTCCCAAGAGACAGACAGAAGCTGTATTGCCTTTCTTTAAATTTACCTGGGAAGCTACCTGGTGTCATTCCATCATAATCACCAGACCACCCAGACTTAAGGGGAGGGAACATAGATCCTGCTGGCTCACTGTGTGAGAGCATTCCCGCTGGGAGGGAAGAAGGAGAGATGGGATCTGTAATGGTAACCATCCTTGGAAAACAGGATCTGCTACACCATGATTGGCTTTGTTCTCCTGGCCCCGAGATTCTGACTTGGTGTTGAGGTGCAACCTGAGAGTCTGTTTCTCTGACAAGCTTCCAGGTAAGGTCAGGCTGTGCGGTGCTCCAGGGAGCTGAATTTTTTAAAGCTCCCAAGGGGGTGATAACACGAAACAGTGTTGAGAGCCACTGGCTTAGATCTGCCTTGGACTTGGGAATAAAGCCCCTTCTCCTGAGTCTAGTCAGGGAGTAGTGGCTTCCCAAACGAAATGCAGGAAAGGAAGGGGAAACGGTACAAGGCTTTCTCGTTGCTCCTCCCGGCCCCCCCAGGCTCCGCCTCCTTAGACAAGGCTGTGCTTCGGGCAAGATGTTAAGTCCATGGGCTCAGGCCCAGCGTTTCTGTTCCTGGACCCCTTCCCTGATGAGCTGGTGTTCACCGGGCTACAGCAAGAGCCTGCCCTTGAGAGAGAGGATGGCAGCGCCCAGCATCCTGGAGCGATGTGCTCTCCACACCACTGTCAGGGCCCAGGGTGGGCCTCTGGCCCCGAGTACATCTGATGGATGCTCAGAAACGACCTTGCAGTCTCAGGGTTCAGAGTGCAGAGTTTAACCCGATCCTCACCACTGATCTTTGAATAATTCATTCCATACTCAGCACTTGTAAGAACAAGGATTGAGGGCTTTGGAGGTTTCTGATCAGGCAACAAGGAGGCCACGTATCACAGTCTTCTCAGCAGATTGCACTTGGGTCAATGTTTATCTTAAATCCACTCGCGTTCACACGTCAACCCCCTACTCCATTTCAGATACAAGAGAATCTGCATGAAAATGCTATGAAGTCTATTTTTTTTTTAATGTAAATGGTAAAGTCCTCCTTGGATTAAGTTATTTTTATAACAAAATGGTACAAAGACTAAATTAAAGTCTAAACCCCCCCACAAGAGGCTCCAGGTGAGTACCACATATTAAATCCAAAGCAATTCTCGGTGCCCTAAGTGATTAAGGATTGGAAGAGGGCTGT